AGGAACCCTGAGGGCTACGGGAACCAACTTCGGAGCGCCGCCCAGCTAGACAGGTAAGGACCCGGGTCACTTGGTAGCCTGTCCCAACGTACAGAAGGGGAGACTGATCACCTCCCGGAGTCACCCGAGTATCTCAGTTTCTGAGAGAAACCGTGACTCCTAGGAACAGGGCGGCGGGCGGAGAATGAATGTGTTTGAGTCTGTGTGAATGAGATGCAGCCTGGCTGCTAAGCGAGTGTGGGGTCCCTATTCGCGGGTCCGTGGTGCACCTCATATGGCTTAGGGTGGTATCGCTAAATTGTCTCGTACAGTTTGGGGATCCAAGTCGAGGATTTAAATCGACCCACCAATGCTAAGAGGCACCTGAGAATTCTTGCGAGAGAAGTGGCCGGAGACGGACGAAGCGAATCTTTGAGTGTGTGTCGCGCCGATTTTGGGTGGTTGCCATGGGTGGGCGACAGAGTACTCAGACTCCATTAGAATGTATGTTAAAAAATTTTAAAAAGGGATTTTCGGGGGATTATGGCATTGAGATGACCCCCCCAAAAGCTCCGTACCTTCTGTGAGATTGATTGGCCATCATTCGGGGTTGAATGGCCAGCAGAGGGAAGCTTAGACAGAGACCTCATTATGAAAGTCCACCTCGTTATTACCGGCAGCCCTGGTCACGCCGAACAATTCCCTTACATCGACTCATGGGAGGCTATTGCACGAACTCGACCCCCTTGGTTGAGGTCCTGTTTGGAAAACCAGAGCAGAATTCTTTTAGCACAAGCTATAATCCCCTCAAGGAAGCAGATTAGAAAAAAAACAGGACAAAAGCCCGTCTTGTCTTCGGACCCGGAGGAAGTCCCGCCTCCTTATTCACCGATTTATCCACGCCTTGGGGGGGGGGGACGCCAGCCCAGCCCCCGGCGCCGCCTTCGCCGGCTGTGCTTTCTCCACCCACCACTTCCGCATTGACTCCAATCCCGCCCTCGCTGTCTCCGCTTCCTCCGCCCACTACAACCGACCAGGAGTTTTTTGCCACGCCTCCACTGCCAGTGCTGACCCACTACGGGCCCACAGATAAGCGGCTGCAGACCAAGGGCCCTGAGACTGGCGCTCTCCAGCTCCCCTTACGGGAAACCAGAGGCCCCCTCTACTATGATCAGGAAGGCCAGATACAGGGAGGCCACCACATTTTTGTGTACCAGCCCTTCTCAACCACTGATCTCTTAAATTGGAAAAATCATACCCCATCATTTACAGAGAAACCACAGGCTTTGACTGACCTCCTTCAGTCAATCATTCAAACGCATCGGCCCACCTGGGCTGATTGTCGCCAGCTCCTCCTAACTCTCTTCAACACTGAGGAACACTGGCGAGTCACCCAGGGAGCTATAAAATGGCTAGAGGAACATGCCCCACCCGGGACCTTAAACATTCAAGTGTATGCTCAGAATCATTTTCCTGAGGAGGACCCACAGTGAGACCCCAATAATGAC